TAGGGGAGGACAGGAGGGAGAAGGGAACTGGGATTGTCATGGAAAAAATCTTGTTTCTAATTCAAATAAAAAATATGAAAAGAAAAAAAAAGAACTTTTCTTAGCAATCAATGGCTTGTTATGTCCAAGCATAACTAAGCCATATGGTTCTAGTCTCCAGTTGTGATTCTAGTTGTGTTTCCCCTCCCCCTTTGTTTTCTGGGAGATTAGTATTTTTATGCTATTTTTATGTTTTTCTGGTATTTTTATGGTATTCTGTAAATACATCCTGGACGGTTTGCTGGTTGATTAAGCACGCCTTGCTGGAATTGTGAATTAAGTGAATTCTTTATTGTGTAAAATAGAATTGCCATGTTTTCCCTACATGATACCCTTAAGCAGCCTTCTGAATCAGTCAACAGTTTTATAAGCTCATGTCTAATTTTTCAACTGAGGTCTAATGTCATAGGGATCATTTTTGACAAAGAAGAAAACAGAAAAATGTTGGACAAAGGCTGTAATATTTTCCTTAGACAGTTGTCATCTTTCCCCCTTTAAACAACATTAAACATGTTTAATGACAGTCATATAATCTGCATTTTTCCCAGTTGACACCAAACCTTTTGGCATGTATTGAAAGTAAATGATTCATACTGAAATTGCAAGAATTTATTGCTGTGTCTGTAAACTTTCTGAAGTGCCCTGCCTTTAGTCTGTTGCTTGAGGCCTCACATGTATTATTGGTCAGTGTGCTGGTTAGATTCTTTTCGCCATCTTGACACAAGCTCAAGTCATCTGGGAAGAGAGAACCTTAATTGAGGGATTGCTCCCATCAGATTGTCTGCAGGCAATTCTATGGGGGGCATTTCCTTGTTTAATAATTGATGGGGGAGAGCCCAGCCCACTCTGGGGAAGGGATGCCACCAGATGCTCCTGGGTGGTATAAGAAAGCAGACTGAGCAAGTCATGTGAACAAACCAGTAAGCTGCATTCCTCCATGGTCTCAGCCTTGGCTCCCTTCAATGATGGACTGTGGTTTAGACATGTAAACCGAACAAACCTTTTCATTCCCAAGTTGGTTTTGGTCACGGTCTTTATCCCAGCAATAAGAAACCAAGCAAAAACAGTCATTTTGGATCTATTTTTCACTAGCTGGTCACCCTGCTACTTGTAAGACCTTTTATGTAGGAAGCCCATTGTTTCTCCAGTCCCCACAGACACTACATTCATTTTAAACTTCATGAGCCTGGCGACTGCCTTTTGGTGAATATGAGCATACTGTTTCCATATCAACTCTGTTAGTTTGGAATATTAGTGTGTAGACACAAAATATCACAGTCTATTAAGACAACATTTGTACCCTTATTTATTAATGCAGTCTTTGACTGGGGAACACTTTCATGCTCTGTTTCCACCCAGAAGTGTTAATTCTTCCATAGATATTGAATCCTGCTAATAGAATACAGGACCGATACCTTACCAGTTAACCAGAATTAACCAAACCCCAAGTCCAGACTTGACCTCAGCTAGGATCCATGTTATATCACCACTTAGTTAGACTTTGGGTGTTTTTGGTAAATAGAGTTTACACATGTCAATGTATGTGTGTGGGTATATATAGTACACAAGACGTGTGTATATATGCGAGGTTTCTATTTCAGTTTAGAAGCTTGATGACTATGGTGGCTAATCTTGGTTGTCAACCAACTTGATAGTATCTGAGATCAACTAAAATGCAAGGTGCTGGGCACTCCTATGATGGATTGTTTTTACAAAGATTTATTTTATGTGTGTGAATGTTTAGCTGCATGAGTGTATGGGTACCAGCACACAGAAGTTAAAAGAAGGTATTGGATTTCCTGGAGCTGGAGTTATGGATAGTTGCAAGCTACCATATGAGTGCTTAAAAACAGAATTGAAATCCTCTGCAAGAACAAGTGCTCTTCACTACTGAGCCATCTCTCATGCCCACCCTGTGAGACATTTTCTTGATTAGATTATTCAAAGTTGGAAGAACCACCTTAAGTGTTCTGATGCAAGAAACTTTGCATTTTTCCTGTTTGCCTTCATTCTTGCTGGTAGCTTCATCTATTTTGTTGCTGCAGCATTCCTTTTCTGTTATTAGAACCAGAATCCTCCATTTTTAAGGTAGATTGAATACCAGCAGCTCTCCAGGAATCGTGTAGGCTTTTAGCACCAGATTCGGAATACCGAATCCATCTCTTTCATTCTCAGCCTTTGCAATGTGAGACAGAATTTGTTGGACTACCCAGACCATATCATGCGAGTCAGTCTAATAAATCACCCTTTAATACACATTCATATTATATTATATAATATTATATATAAATATATATTATATTATATGTTATATTCTATTACTTCTGCCCCTTTAGAGAACCCTGACTGACGTAATGACTATTTCTTACTTTTGACAGCCTACTAGAAACAATGTGATAGACATGTTTGGTTGTTGCTCTGGGTAGAAGAGTTTGGCAGTCCCAGAGAGATGAATGTTTTATACCTGGGTTCTAACCAGAGTAGAGAAACAAAACATGATGAAGCTAGTCGTTTGTATCTACATGATGCACTTTGTTCCACAGACAGAGTTATTTTCTTATTGTGATGCCCTTCAGTTACAAGCTGCAGTTTTTTGTTTGTTTGTTTGTTTGTTTGTTTTCCGAGACAGGGTTTCTCTGTGGCTTTGGAGGCTGTCCTGGAACAAGCTCTTGTAGACCAGGCTTGTCTCGAACTCACAGAGATCTGCCTGCCTCTGCCTCCTGAGTGCTGGGATTAAAGGCGTGTGCCACCACCGCCCGGCCACAAGCTGCAGTTTTAAAGGAATAAAATATGTATTTTCTTCTCTATTTGTCCAAACATGAAGCTAAGCAACACATTTAATTTAAAGTATAACTGGTTACGGATGGAAGCGCCTTCCACACATAGTTGCAGTTTCTTTTAAATTGACTTGAAAGGTGCCTTTTACATCCATAGAGGGTGTAGCCATAAAGGTCTTCTTTTATACAGTCTACACTATGGAACTGTAGCTACTATTGCAAGTAGTAAGGCAGATATGAGTTGGTGAAGGAGATGTAGAGGCCCGTAGTCTCTACATATGTAAAACAGGGAACTATTTCTTAATTATTATTATGGAAGTAACAACAGAAAATATTACTTCCTGAATCATACCTTATTGCTTGACAGCTTAAAGGGCTGCATTTTGCTTGTTTCCACTAAATGAAAATAGACGCTATCTGAATTTAGGATTGTGGAGCACTGGCGAGCTTTCACATCAATCATCACTGCACTAAAATACTAGGGAGTGGTCAGAGCCACAGAGACCCATTTATCAGGAAAATTGGTTATAGAAAAATGTGTGTGTGTGTGTGTGTGTGTGTGTGTGTGTGTGTGTGTGTGTGTGTGTGTGTAATGCATGTGTGTATCATGTCCAGGAGCCCAAAGTGTGAGTTGTAGCCTGTCCTATCAAGTTCAGGGGTAAAGACAGTTCCCAAGTATGCAAACCCGCAACAAATAGTAGCAGCATGGGATTGAGCTAGGTAGAGAGAAATACAAGCACTTGTTTAGTGTATGATTATGTTGACAGCAGAGCCCTGACATCTCATTTTTAGCATTACAAGGTGTGTTTCCTTGTATAGGGGTCATCAAGGACGGAGTCCCAGAAAGAGATAAACACTGGGAGGGAATGGCAGATACAAAGTTGTCATTAAAATGGGGACACATCTACAGGGAGGAAAAGTGACTCATACAAAATCTAACTGCTGAGTTCTTTACAGAGATTTATGGAGAAACTTGTACAGAACAAAAAGGTGCAAGATACATTAGTAATCCCCATTGTATGGAACTTTTACTGCTCTGGCACGAGGAGCAGAGACTATTTAGCCAGAGTTGTCAACTATTTGCTTTCTCATCAGCCAGATGTTTGATCTGGAATCCCTCTGGAACTAACAGTAAAAAGGAAACATTTCAGAAATTTAGGAAGTTTTAGTTGGCAATCGAGTTTTACTCTTCGCCTACACTGTGTGAGGTTACCCTTCGTCTTAGAAGTTAGGGGACTGTTGCTCTTTATTTGACAGCCAACAAGAAACACGGTCGCGGACCTATTTGGCTGCTGTCCTGGGTAACCGAGTTTGGCAGCCCTAGGGAGATGAATTTCTTAAGCCTGGGACCCGCCCAGAGCTGAGAAGCACCACCCTGGCAGCGGGTACTCTGTTGCTATGAAACAAAGACTAGGAAGGTGAGTGAGGCAGGAAGTCCCGCCTTTTAGCCCCAGTTGGCTTAGACTCCCGCTCGGGGCGCTCACGCCCACCTGCGCACCCCTCATTGGTTAGCTCCCGGGAGCCTTGCCGCTTCTTTCCAGTCCCTTTCCCTGTTCCACTTTTGGTTCGAGGCTACCGTAGGCCCATTTCCCTACGAGTTCTTCTCCAAGTGGAAGGCGGACGAGAGGGCCTT